AGTTTGGAAAATAAATTAATGTCATGTGATTCAACCTGTAAATTCTATTTCTAGAGGCAGCACTAGAGATATTGCTTCGATGACTATATAATATATATGATATAAAAAGTATAAAGCAAAAGAAATTTAATTTAATTGGTTGTGGCTATTCTAATTAGGATTAAATTTAAATTTAATTACCCCATTTAATAAAAATATGGAAAAGGAAAAAAAAAAAAAAAGGAAAAATGGGGAGTAGGTGGGGTTTTAAAGATTAGTCTTGCCAATAATCATTGGGGGAGCATATGTATAATTGAAATGACCCAGACTGTAAAAAGACACTGTTTTGTTTTGATTTATATGACAACTGCCTTCAAAAGCTTTAATTCTGGTTTTATTCCACTATGGAATTCCTCCATTTTTTTCTCTGACAAAGTTTATGTCTTTTTATTTATTTTTCCCCTTGGAAGATATATAGAATCTGTACCAGTTTTTAGTACAAAAGGAATATGCTTTGGTTTCAAAAAAAAAAATGGAAACAAACTTCAGAAGAAGAAAGAAGAAAAGCAAACGATGTAAATGGTGTAAATTAGGCCCCCTGCACTCATGCATCTAGGTATATATGACCAATTTTTTTTTAAAAGAAAGCATTAAATGTATCCATGTTCGTTTTGATTGAAAAATTCTAAAAACCCGAGAATTTTTAGGCTGGATTTTAATTATAGAAAAAAGAAAAAGAGAGTTATTATTGATATTAAAAAAGGAAAAAACATAGAGAAAAGTGGAGATAGACAAAAGGGGCTGGGTCCTGAGAGAAGCATCTTTTCTTCAGTTTCAGGTCTGGCACACTTATGATCCTGAAAACCCCAAAAAAGAGGGCAAAAAAAGAAATGGGTTTGGTCAGTAGACTCCACCGAGATCATCTTGTGGCCTTCTTTTTCCCTTATCCGATACAAGAAAAAAAAAATGTGCTGGCTTAGGAAATCCCCCAACTGCTGTATTCCACTTTGTCCGCTGTCTTGATTGCACGGCAACGAAGATCGAGGTGTAAAGTCAAGGGCGGCTTTGGGTTTGACATGGTGATGTAAGGATTACATTTCAGATGTTAGTCATGTATCCAATCAAAGTCATGTAAATATGAAGATTAGGCTCAATTACACAATAACAATAATAATAAGAACATTAAGTTGTTTATTTCAATAATTGATTGTCACCAAGATGTTAAGGCTTGTTAAGTTTGCGTTAAGATGATTTATATCCAATTTAACTAACGTCGAGATGTTTAAGTACGGTTAAGTGAACCCTAAGATAATTTAACCCTAATCTAGTTTTCATCGGAATGTTTATATTAGTTAAATTGATCTTGAGATGATTTAAGTCTAATTTAGCAAGCATTAGTATTTTTTTAAACCCAATTAAATAGGTCGGAAATGATTTAAGCCAATCTAACTAGCATCTTGATTTTTTAAACCTAATTGAGTTAGCCCTTAAATGATTTAAACCTAATCTAACTAGGATCAAGATCCTTAAACCGAGTTAAGTAGGCACCCAAAAGTTTTTTGAGTCTAGTTATGTTGACCAAAAAAAAAAAAGAACAAAGGCAGAGAAGAGAAAAAAAACAATATTTTTCAGAATTTTTTAAAGTTGGGAGTCTTGTAAGAGGAGTATTTTAAAATTATGATAAGAAAGAATTTTTTTTTCAATTTTTTTTTAAATTATGAAACCTTGTAAGAAGGGTACTTTACAATTTGTTTTTTGAAATTACAAAACACTAAACCCTCATTTTGAGATGAAAAGCATGATCTTTTCAATTAGTTTTCCTCCCTTTATATTTTTATACAATTCTTAATTCTACAAAATAAGGAAAAATAATCATATGTAGACACTCATTTTGTCTTAGAATTTATTAATGGGCTCCAAATTAGAGAATTGGACCTCAAAGCCCAAATGTCGGTATAGGTCTTGATTAATTGGGATCAGAGTTGAAGGTGGGCCTTGAAACCTTGAATATGGACCGATCCATGTAACATGTAAAAAAAAGTCTAAAAATCTAAAAAGTAATAAAATAAATTACAATCCTAAAATTAATAATTACAACAAATATAATAATAAAAAAATAAAAATTATAACACCTGAGCGTTTAGCTCATTAATTGGTGCATGATCTATTTATCTAAAGAGCAAAATTGAAATCCCTTTCTCTGAAAATAAAAATTATTCAAAGAGCTTTGAATTCTTAATTCTTTAAAAAAAAACTATGACTTCACAAACCCTTTTAACCTGCATCCATGCATCAACATATTGGCCTAACAGGTTGAGCTCGCCTGACTCTTCACCCGGTAGTCCAATTCAAACAAATGCCCATTCCACAAATAATCCATATTTGATTACAATATTTAAATTATACATCCAAATTTAAATTTAATTTTTTTCACTATCTCAATTCAGCAATTTTAGTCTCTCTATCATAACTTTAATAAATTTGGTCTCTACATTTTATTAAAAATCAATTAATAAATGTTGTTAAGACTTAAGATTTTTACTCTTAACTTGAATGACATGACATTTTGATTATAACACGACATGCTGAGGTAGATTACTTAATTCATATTTTAATTCTAAAAGATAAATTTCAATATTTTTACTAAAAATAAAATTATTTTGTTCAAAAATTCAGAATATCATGTTACATCATAATAAAAAAAAACCACGTAGTCCAATTTAATTATAAAAATTTAACATTGTTATTAATTGTCTTTAAATAGATTTTTAATAAAAGTATTTATTAAAATTGAAATAAAAAAACTAAAAATATGAATACCATTTGTTTTTAATTTTTTATTTTTAATTGATTGTAATAAAAATAATAAAATTTATATTATTGTTTTTATTGATAAAAAATATTTTTATATATTTGTAATATTTAAAATTATTATGTATATATTTTAAAATTTTTAAAATTATGTTTTAAAAATTAAAAAAAATCCTTGATTGATGAAATTAAAGGTTGTATTACTAATGGAATTAGCATTATTACCAAAGGATTAATAACAACTTTCAACAAAAAAATTGTTGGGAAACCAATTAATACTAGCCCATCACATTACTGACGGATTAGATGCATTGCCAACCAACTTTCCAAATGAAATATTTCGTTAGAGATTCATGGATAGTAAATTTAGTTGTTGATGAATTAGCTTTACCAGTTAAGGTATTTTTAATTAATTTTTGATAAAATTTTCTATCGACATGCTATTGGTAATTGTCGTTATTGACGAAATTTAAACTTTTATCAACGAAATTTTTGGCGATAAAAGCATTAATTTTGATAGTGAAATATAATACATAAAAATGTAACTTAATATTTACTTATTTTTCATTTCATCATCAATAGGTATATTCAAATACACAAACACTTTTGAAACAGAATAGGAGGCGAAAACACTCTCAACGTTGTTAAGAAAAGTGATGAACATCCTCAGCATTGAGAAAATCTTATCCACCCGTCAGCCACCGTGAAAAGCTGAAAATCCACTTGATAACTCAAAAATGACAACACCACATGCCGAGCATTGAGAGTTTGTTAACTAAATAGAATTTTAGATTATAACAATTAAACTTGCAAAAATCATATAGTAATTACCCTGTACATATTCATTTTCAAGAAAAGAATTCTTGAATTTTTTTTGGCACCTTTTAAATAATCCTAATTTATTTTAAAATTTTAAGTGAGATAATATATCTTATATCTATCCTCTATCACCCATCACCCACTTGATATTGAATTATTAATAATACATGAATATTTGAGTTAATATTATGTGAATACACCTTTTGCTTAAAAAATTATTTTTTGCTCAAAATTAAATTTATTAAAAAACTCAATTTTGATAAAAACAATAAAAATAATTAAATTTGAAACATTTCAAATAAAAAAATTTCTATATGAGGTTTGAAATTCAATATAAAGTAATCTCATATTAGAAATGTGGGTTCCACTAGTTCGGATAAGATAGAAGTTCACATTATTCCGCAGCTGGATAATTTTTTATTTGGTCCAACAAAGTTTATAAATTTACAAATTTTCCCACACTATTTTCATTCTTCAAGCTAAAGCCTGTTGATCAACCGTCTTCCAAGCCGTCCGATACCAGAACTAAGTGGACCCGTGATTTGACAAAGCAACCTAACCGTCCACGTGGCAAATAGTGTTGAGTCAGAGCTGTGATAACTATTTCGCGGGACTATGGACGAATCAGAAGACAAAACAAGAAAAAAGGGCCGAAAGTTCAACGGCACATGTCAATAACTTTTTTGGAAGGAAAACCATTAGGATTTCGACACGTCATCACTGCAGCCGCCCAAAACAAAGAGTTAAAAGTCGCATCCATAATAAATAAAAATATATTGCTCCATTTTTACAACAACTTGAAACAAAAAATGATAATAAATTTTATTGTAAAACATATTTACTTAAATTGGAAAAATGCCACATTAAAATCTTAATTAACAGAATAAATCATTAGAATTATAAAAAAAGGTTGAATTGTTTAATTTTCATTACCTTAATTAATTTTAATATTTATTGGCCAAAAAATAATTATATTTATATTTTATAGTAAATTTAAAAAAACTTAAACTACCATATGATTTGTAATTTATAGTAAAGTATACTTATTTTTTTAATATCTTTAATAATGTATACTTGAATATTTGATTTTGTAGTTAGTACTTAATCTTTTATTTAAAGAATATGAATTTAAATATCTTTCTCCTAAAAAAAATCTTTGATAATATAGTTTGCGAGTGTAGTCGAAGAAGAGATAAAAAATGCATGAACCATGGTCATCGAAGAGAGAAAAGGGTAAGAAATTAGAGGAAATCAAAACCATGAAAAGAATAATTAAAAATAAAACTAAGAATATTTCATGAAATGCACATAGTTAATTTACTAGATATTCTACATATTCAAGATCCATTAACAGAGTTTGGTTTGTTTTCCTCTTATCTAAAAAACTGTAAATAATTATAAAATATTCTTATATAAACAAGTCTTCTACTCTTAGCCACCTTCGCTTTTCCTCATTTGGCACTTTTCCTCTCATCTTTCATCCTCTTGCTTCCTCTTATATACTACCTCCCAACATCAATCATCAATCACCAACCCTAACCCTTTTCTCTCTTTCCATTTCCCTACAGAAAAAGCCAATCCAAAGATCACGAAAAACATCAAAGAAAAATTAAGAAAAGAAGCATAGTTTGAGAAATCATGAGGAGCCCAAGTTTATCAGGTGCATCAACGACAAGCAAAACACCATGTTGCAGCAAAGTTGGGATAAAGAGAGGGCCATGGACGCCGGAAGAAGATGAGCTCTTAGCCAACTACATCAAAAGAGAAGGCGAAGGAAGGTGGCGGACGTTGCCTAAGCGAGCTGGCTTGCTCAGATGTGGTAAGAGTTGTCGTCTCCGGTGGATGAATTATCTCCGACCATCAGTTAAACGAGGCCGTATCGCTCCTGATGAAGAAGATCTCATTCTTCGGCTTCACCGCTTGCTTGGAAACAGGTAGCTCCTAATTCTGTAAAAATTCAAAATCAGTTTTCACAGAAATGTTTCAAGTCTCGTTCAATTTTTATGTTTGGGTTTTTCTCTGCTTTTTATATGGTGCAGCTCTCCTTCTCTATATACAAACATAAAGTTTTTCAATAAGTTATGGGCAAAATGTAAGTTAAGTACGTGCAGGTATAGATTAATTTTTATCTGGGGTTTGTATCTTACAAGTTATCAGAATTGGAGATCATGTTTTAGATTCGTAGAAGAAGCTAAGCTTTGAGGGTTTTCTTTTTATTTTTTTAGGGTTTCTTTAAAGATTTTTTTTCTGGGTTCTTTACTGTTTGAATTCTTTTCAGGTGGTCTTTGATAGCAGGGAGGATCCCAGGACGAACAGATAATGAAATAAAGAACTACTGGAACACCCATTTAAGCAAGAAGCTAATCAGCCAAGGAATAGATCCAAGAACCCATAAACCATTGAACCTTGTTAGCCATAGTTCATCACAAGTTAACCATGATCCTGTCCCAAAACCAAACCCTATCCCCCCAAACTTTAATTCTTCTCAATTAGGAGAAAATACTATTGCCATGACTGCTAAAACCACTACCCAAGATTTTACGCCAACTAACCTTGAATATCATCAGCAATATGATCAAAACCAACAGGTTGTTGCTAGTATGGCGAATTGGCGTAATCCTGATGGTGCTACTCTTATCGTAGGGCAACCAAGCAGCCTTGGAAATGGAGGAGATTATATAGAAAATTGCAATGAAGATGTTTTCTCTTCATTTCTGGATTCTTTGATTAATGACAACTTGTTTGTCAATCAGCAGCAAGAACAGCAGCAACCTAATAATGTGGTAGCAGCAGAAGCATCTACTCAGAACTTTACTCATGGCAACATTTGGGAAGCTGAGATCATGTCTTCGATGGTTGCCTTTGGGAACGAGCAAAACCCTTTCATTAATCACCATCAGCATCAGCCTTAGCAAAGCTGCAAATTTATATCTAGATGCATATTGAAATTAAATGGTTGTGATTTTACCTATCATTTTAAAGGGAAAAAAAAAGAAATGATAGGAACGTTTTATTATAGTTTTATGCTTGTGATGCTATTTTTTTTATTTAATATCTTTGGTTGTGTTAATGTTATGCATTGAACTCTTTGTTGTAAGAAAACATTATTTTGGTACTGTTTTTAGAGTCTCAAAATGTATCAGTCTTCAGCTCTAATTCTGTAATCTCCTATAGGAATTAGGAAATTGAGCAAAAAAACGTGATTTCTTTCTAATCTCTGAATTATATATGAATTTTTAACCTATGCTTCCAATAATCGGATAGTATAAAGCTTTCTCCATCTATTTTGAGGAGTTCATCACCATGCAAGCACTCACTGTTCCATTGTTTTTGTTCTGTTGGCATTTCTGTTAGCATTGGTTGCTTATGTTAAATTTCTTTTAAGTGCATTTTAGAATTCCCCTTTTAGCAGTTTCAGCTGATATGCTTCTTCAATTCCTTATCCGACTGATTAACTAATCAAAATCAGATATTCAATATTACCTGGTTCTTCTTTATCCCTAATATCATGCATGAAGCAAATAAATATTAGGAAACATGAGTATTTTTTTAATGTTATTTGCAAGGTAAATGATATTCTATATATATGCTATCAAAATCAGTAGTTTTTACAAAAAAATCAGTACTAATTTTCTTCAATGGTGCATTCCTTTGCTCCTATAGTTCTCTTTCAATGGTTTCTAAATATATAAGCAAGATATATATAGCTTTCCTCAATTTTTCCCATCATGCCATTTCGAATTCCATTCTCATAATCCAGATGTTGATTAATTACTTTTCAATCACATGTTTATAGAATGTTTGATTGAGTTAGAATATAGGGTTTAAATTTTAAGCATCAATATCAAACTACCTCCTGGTGCAACTCATACACCAAGTTGCTGTAGATGTACAAGGTTCTAAACCAGCTAGTCTAATGCCAGTTTTCATCTCCAACAATTGGAATAAAAGAAGTTTAGAGTCATAAAAGAATATGATCCTGATTCTCTTAATTTACACTTAGCTAAAAATACAATATATAACATTAAATGTGCAGAGTGAGGGGCGGTTTGTGCAGGGTGGGAACCGAGGGTCTCACAGTCAACAGGTAAGCATGGAGGCTTACAATTTGTGCATGCATGTGTGAGGAAGGAGGGGAGGAGTAGGGTCTTTCACGTAAACATGGGTGGGCTGTGTACATTTTTGGTGTAAATGCGTGTGTAGCAGCGAATGTCAATGTTATTTAGGCTGGAAAAAGTCTTGTTGTGATGAGCTAAAGACATTCACCAGCATATTGGTACTCTATAATTTTTTTTTCAATATATGATAATTGCATGCTTTTTTTTTTTTTAAATAACCATCTGTTTTTGTTCTTTAAAAAGAAAAACAAAAAAGACAAATGAAAAAGGTAAATAACCAAAATATGAATCATGTGGAGTTTTAATTTAACTGCATCTTGCACTAGTTATATTTATCTATCCTTTTTCCCTTTAATTTGTAATTTTTTTTGTTAGAAAAAATTCACAAAAATAATATTGGTTTTTAAGTGACATGCATGCAATGCAAACTAGAATTTAGTTAATTATTTCATATGGAATGTTAGCTTTAGTGAAAATCCTAAGCTGATCCTCTGCCATTGTAAGCCTAGTTTTGACCTAATTATTGACCGCAACAGTTATACTCCTTGGCCATCTCACGCTTACATGCATCTTCCACTATTCATTCCTAAACTCACTACTTAAGTTTTGATGTTAAAAGATTTGGAAGAAAGCTAAGGTGATAAAGGTTCCAAAATTTTGCAAAAGAACTGGTAATTGAAACGATCATCTGTTATTATATAATTCACTTATTAGGATTTAGGAGTTAGGAAGGAGAAGTTATATATGGATAAAGAATTTTGGTTTCAGTTGAAGTGTTTTTCTCTTTGTGAAATGTGTTTCCAACTTTATTTTTTAAGGATATTACTGCACTATGAATATCATTAGCAGCACTACCTACCTACCTATCTATCTATCTATCTATATATGGTTTCAATTTATAGTTTTGAATATTATAACATTGTTGGCAAGATTGGGTGATTAGAATTTTGCACTTGGCAGAGCCACTCTATCAATATGACTATATCCATGTTAAAAACTAGAGTGTGTCATTTAGTTCAATAATGGAAATTATTATGTATGTATAAATATATGCAATGAAGGGCAACAAATGAGGTAAGTAATTGGCTGGTTGTGTTGAGAAGATCATTGTGAATTGTGAGTTTAGGTTTATGTATAATGTAATATTATTTGTCCTTGACGTCTCTCTCTTCATTTAAATTACTTATAATCCTTTTGGTTCCAACTAGGAAAACAGTGGGAGGGGTCTTCCGGGGCCAGGGGAAGTGGGATATGGAGATCAAGAAAAGTGGGTTTGATTATATTCTTTTGTTGTTTTTACTTAATATAGCAACATTTCAAGTTAAAAGTACTACAGATCCCCAATAAACTTTATACCTTCCTTGCTTGACTAGGCTCCAACCAATCATACAAAGAGGCATGTTGTGGCAAAATATAGAAATGAATATTTTTTAAAAAAAGAGGAAACATTTCATCTACAATGAAACCGAGAATAGAGACTAATTAGTCAATGGTAAGTAGGAGGTCTTCTCACTTCTTCCTCTTTAATTTTCATCATAAGTCTCATTATATGTAACTTAGGTTCAAATATAGATTGCTTTAATTATAATTTATTTGACTTGTTAATTAGTTTCTTCTACTGAATACAATAATTATATAAGTCAAATGCTATATTGAGCAATGTTTGATTTTAATTTTACTTTCTACTCATATATTAACTCTATTAAAAAAAAACTTTAGTTGAATTAATGATCTTCATGAACACTTAAGACTAAAGCAGCCTTAGTGAAAAACCACTACTTTTTAGTGGTTGCTGGCTTTGGAAGCTGAGAATGGCAGATACTAGGGAGGTGCATGTGAGAGTTTGCTGTGTTTAAGTAGGTGGCATGCATGCCTAAACTCAAACTTAACCACACAGTGATGTGTACTTTTTATAGGAACCCAAGCCCACCCAGAGTGCCTAGCCTCTTTGAAAGCCTAAGAAAAAGTGCTCTTAATGTCTCTATCTTGTTAGGTGAATTTTGTACCTTTTGTTGGTCTCTTTCAGGCTAAGAGTGAAATAGTTAAATCTAGTCATATCGAGTACCAATGTGGACTGAATTATCATATCTGTTCAGATATTTAATTCCATTTATTTATTTTGGGTTTTTTTACTGTAATTAAAAAACCAAAGAAAAGGAAGATATATACCATGCTTTAAATAACTAATTAAGTGAACCAGTAGGCTTTTAACAATAGTTTTTGCCTCTGAAACTTTCAATTCAAATTATTCAGAATGTTCATTCATATTAAATACTATGAGAAAAAGACATACATACATACCTTAGTCCAAAACATAACTGTTGCATTGTCTGTGTTTATAGTAGCAACAGAGCAAATTACATGGCAAAAATATTATAATACATCTCTAAGAAAAAAAGATTGAAATTTGAAAGCTGAGAGTGATCATAGACAACATATATATATATATATATATGTATATCAAACATGATTTCTGTGATTTTAATTCATCTAAAACACAAGATGAAAATGACTTGGTTAAATAGTATTAAAACATGAAATCTCTAATATTAACACATCAAAATGGTAAAATTCAGAAGTTAGTTTTTGAAGTTTTAACAAAAGATACAGGCAAGGCTAGTCTTTAGTGTGATGACAAAGACTGAACCTTCTCACTATCAAGACAGTGTTTTCAAGTAAGAATGATAGAGGAAAATGATGTATACAAGAAGCTGAAGAAGAGCTGTGTAACCTGGAAACATGAAGCTCTCGATCGATGCAGCCTTCTTCATATCGCTCGCCATTGAAGCTCCGATAGCAAGCTCCAAGAAACGAGGGAAAAGATCCGGGAAGTTGGAGATGAAGGTTGAATTTGTAGCTAGGTCAAGGCGCATGAGGGTTAGATCGATTAACCTACGTCAACAACCAAACCTTTGGAACCTGCATGCTTCACTGTCCTGGACCTACCCTTCTCTTTTCCAAATTATCCCATATATATGTGCTAGCCACTGTCTTTTCCCTCAACTGCCCACCCACTTTAATGGAGGGCCACTCTCTTTGTGATCTCGTCCAGTACTGAAAATTAATAATCTGCCACAAAAATCGTGCAATTATGAACGATATTCATCATCATTGGATGATGCATGCAAATTAATGACTGTTACTTTACGACTTCATTTCAAAAGAATAATGAAATCATCAATACGCTTAAAGACTAGTTTGGGTATCAAACGATTGGTCATACCAAATTAAAATACAAGAAAATTACACACCATGTTCCATTTTGAATTGTCGCTCAAATGAATCTGAACGAAAACTTTCTGAACTTTATATTCTTACCCTATAGTTGAAGGAAAGCCATCTAATTTTCTCTTAAAAAAATATAATTAAGCATCGCAGATGTTTAATTTGATCGTATTATGAACCTAAAAATTATTCTCTTAATTTTTTTCCCCATTAATTTGTAATTACTTTGCTTCCATCTATTATTTTGTTTTCACTAATTTGAAACCTTATTTTTTGATTTCAAGTTATATGTATGTATAAATTGCTTGTAACCTCAAAGTCTTATAATTAAAGAGTTCCTATCGATAAGTTTATTTTTTGGTCAGGCATACATATAGGTTTAGTTTTTCTTACTTTATTTATTAATTTTTATGTATAATAATAATAATAATAATAATAATTTCGAGCGCAATATATCATGGTCAGCTTGTGGGGTCTGAGCTTTAGCCTAATCCATGCCTTGATAACGGAAGCCCAAATGTATCACAATTTACAGCAGCCCACTAGCTTCATGGATCTGTGTGATCTTGTGGGTTGTGGTTTGTGTCTTTTTTTTTTCTTTTTCTTAATTATGAAATATCAAATTTACAAAAAAAAAAAGAATGCTTAAGAAATTTATAAAAATAAAAATGAAAATTTTCTAATACCAACAACTGATTTTCAGATTTTTCTTTCACATTGTAACCCTTGTGAATATACATATATTTTTATTTTTTTAATTCATTCGGATACTGTAATGAGTTTTTACCTTTAAGTTTCTTTTATTTTTTTCATAATGTCAATTTTTTTGAAATTTTCATAATTTGAAGATTTGAACCGGACAATACAAGAATTATTAAAAAGTTTGAATTTAATCAAGGTTTTTTTTCTTAAT